ACTATCATTCCATATAATATAACCTGTCTCATTTGGACACCATTTGGAGCAGCTTAGGTGACCATGCACTTTAATGAAAGCATGTATTCACTGTCTCTGTCTTTTTAATGATTAGGAAAGACAGAATGATCCCATTTTACGTAACCCGAAAGAAAACCCAAACAAACTCAGAAAAAGTTTCAGTCAGCATACTTTCAGTCAACCAGAAGCTTTTTTTTCATTGATTAAAGATTTCTTTTTAAAGTCGTAATTTCTGAAACGAGATTTCCAGCAAGTTTTTAAGACTGACAATAGAAATGTCAGATATGATAAATCGCCTAATACTGAAATATGGATGGCCAAACCGAATTACAGTGTTTCATATGATTCCAAAGTTTAATTTTAAGCTTTCAATTACAGTTCCTGAAAATAATAGCAGGTCAGACCTTTGAAATCAGACATGACCTTGTGCAATTGGTGCAATTTTGTTTTCCAACAACTCATATTTGAAGGTACAAACATACGTTTTTATTTTCTTGTATTTTACAGCCCTTGCTTGTGGTGCTACTTTTTTCACACAACATTGTGTACCACCTCCTGCCCAGTATTAATAGTGTTATGGATACACGTTATGTATGATTTCACCTTTCATGTAGTCTTAACATTCTCCCTTTTCAGCCATTCTTCCTATGCATATTTTGTCTTTGCCTTTACTGAAACAAACTTCTTGTCTTTTACTAGATAAAATGGTGTGATTATAATTGAGGCCATCCACAAGGACAGTGTAGATGTCTCCATCAATCCCTCTTCTAATAAAAGCATGATAATTATCCACCTTTTAGCTGCTGATGGGTTATTATTCATAGTTACTCCACATCCACCCAACTCTTACTGTTTCAGTCCCTATCTCACTCTGTTTCTGCTCTGAATCCCACTTCATTCCTCTCCATCTTTCTTCTTTATACTTTTCTGTCTTTTAAAAAAAAATGGTGAAAGTTGTGAATTCATATGGTGAGTATTGATTTGGTGAAAAAAAATAATTTGCATTTTGTGTTATGAAGATCATTTTCATCATTGGAGAATCCTGTTACCATGGTGACGTATTTTGGATACTATACCACACTGCAATATCAAGGATGGGATAAGGTTCAAACAGTTAAGGTTTAAAACTGTGGACTGATAAGGTGGAGAAGGCAGGAAAATGGATGTTGCTTAGTTCAGCATTACAATACATTTTTACATTTATTATGAATTTATTTTAGTTTTTTCACTGACAACCCTGTTGTAGAAGGACATTTAGAGGTCATCCCACCATTTCTGTCTTTACTGAATGTTGCTCAGGGATTATAGTTCCACACACACACACACACAACACACACATGTATCTTTTACAGAAAATGCACCCACAAAACATGTGCTTACTTACATATTCACACATTCTCCACAGTTCAGAGTCGTGGGTATTTCCGTTAAGCGAGTGGGATACATAGTGTTTCCATGGAGATCTATTTTTATCCGCTGACAAAAAAGGGCAACTGTTGAAATATGCCATCATTATTCCCTCTGACTGAAAAAGATCCCATTTCACCTTGTGCAAAAAAAAAAAAAAAAAAGAGGCAGAAAGATTTTTTTTACAGCATACATGCACACATACAGGTAGAAACACAAGAGATGAAGGTGGGAGATGACATACAAGCTACATCCTGAAGTCTTTAAACATTTTCTTGCTGATTATGAATTTTTTTGTCAATGTTGGCATCTTGACAGCACTGAGGTGAATTTGTTGCATTTATGTTTCACAACTTGTTTTAGAGACTTCTTTTTTAGTCAGTTTAAATTCTTTTGAAAATATTGTGGCAATCATTGTACTGCCAGTTGTTTTGTGCCTCCTCCAACTCCATGTTAAGTGTGGGTAGGTGGGCTGACCGGTTTTGTCTTCTATTTCATAATCAAGCAAATTAGTCTCTTTTAATAAGTAACTAGCATTTTTCAAAAGAATAAAAACTGTGCAGTGTTTTTCCCAAAAAGTACTCTACATTTAAAAATCATAGATGGAAATTATATCATTGCTCACCACTTCGGGGGATTTAAAGGTTAAATATGAAGCTAGTATAGAAAAAACATACATTACATTGTTTCCCAGCAACTGGAGGTATTGAGGAAAATTTGAATTATTTTGTGTTTGTCCCCTATAGACTGTTTATAGTAAAGCATTAGGATGTGTCATTTGTTTTTCACTAGTGCCAAATAAAGCTCTGTCTTGAACATAGGGCAGGATTACAAATTAAAGCTGCATGTGTGCCCTATGCAGCTAGAAAGATGGTTGGAACTCTGTAAAGGCTCTATGTTAAAAGGTTTGCCCCTGGGCTTGCATGTTCCCACACTGTATTTGTATGTGGTTGCCCTCATGTATTAGGTCACTGCACGTGTGAGAGTAAACAGTGCATCTGTCTCTAATTAACAGTCACTGGCAAACCTTTATCATGTGATAGTATAAGTACTGGTAGGCATGCTCCACCAGTCTTAATGCATATCTACAGTCTCCCATATTACATGGACATACTCATAAACATATTTGTATGTGCTGTAAGAAGATATGCTACTGAGATCAATGGGGGACATGCTTAGGTCATCTAAAAGATAAAATTAAGAGAATGGTTAATTAGTCTATTTATTGACTAGATCGATTTGCAACCAGTGCATTCTATAATGTTGAGCATAGAAATATTTTTGTTTTAATCTTCTTCCCCTTTTCCCTCCATTTCCCCTTCTCGTTTTCTTCCAAATTTTCTCAATTTTTTAGGAAAATATTAGCTTTTATTTTTCATCCAGTTCCTTTTTAATCTTTGCCTCATTTGATTTACTTTCTTTCCACTTTTTTATTGCGTAAACGTACTCAGGTTAATTGTAAGTAATCTTACAAGTCAATGACTTAAATGTAAGGCATTTTCATGCAGCAGCAGTGCTATCAAATGCAATTTCAGGGCCACTCTTGGGAGACCCCGTGACGTGCCATTCATGACATAATGCTGTGGTAGTGTGTGATTGTGAGGGAAACTGACGAAGAGCAACTGTGAAGATACTCCCTGTTTACGTGTGTGCTCAGCATGTAGATAATGATACAAAACTGAAAAGCAGCTTGATTGAAAAAAGTATGTTGATATTTTTGTAAAATTGTGTGAAGATGGAAAGCATGAATTTGCATTGCAATTACTGTACTTGATGTTACATCTGTGGACATGTGTGGCTTTGATGTGGAGGATAGCAGCCAACAGCAGTTTCTGGCACATCAGTGTTGTAGATACAGGTTCAGCCATAATACAACTCATTTAATAGGAAAACAGTTGTTCATACAGAGCATAATTTTAGATGGGCTGTATGAGTTAAAAAGGCAGATATGTGATTTACTCTATTTCAATCTATAAGACTTATCAAATTGGATTATCTCTAATAATTCCATTAAAAAATGTATACGCTGAACCGGTTTGGCACAAATGTGATAGTATCAGTAAACATTTGTAGTACAGTTTTAAAAGCAACAGCAAGGAAAAAATACTTAAATGCAGTTAAGGCTAATAGGTGTGTAACTGCAGGCATGTTTGTCACTGCATGCTCAGGGAAATTGTTCAGAAGTCCAAGGAGATGCTTTATCCATGACATTGAAAGAGCAATCTTTGATAAAAAAAGGCAGCAAAACGTGTAATTCTTACTTTGTGTATAAAAAATAAGCTTATAAGAATTTGACTGCTGTCAGAGATGTGTATCAGGATGTGTAATTACTCGCCTAGAAAGAAGGCTTCCTTACTCAGTCTGGGACAGTGGTCAAGACCTCACCTTGCATTGATACAAAGGTACCAATATTTAGTGCTCCGTTTTTTTATTTTGACATTCAAAATCTGAAAAGAAAATAAATTCCTTCTCTTGTTCTGATGAGGATTAATGTAGAGATTCTTGTACAGTCAGTTTTATTTCACTGAAATGTGTCGGGCTTCAAAGTCATCATGGGAATGATTACATGTTGAGACTCATGAAACTTAATGTTACAGTAATACTGCTGATGAAGTCAAACACAGCTAAGGCAAAAAAACAAAAAAAGACAAATATTTCCAAGGTATCTTATTTTTTACAAGTCTAAAAACTCTGATGGGTTGATGACGTTGGTAACAAGCATATCTATTGTTATTTTACTCTTTATGTTTGTAAGAAACACATTGATTAGGTGATGAATAACCCATCAAAGCTGAGCAAGGTGACAAGCAAAACAAATCCATGTAATGATGTATCACAGGCTGAAATGTGATACTTAGCCAGCAACACTATTGGAACTTCACAATTAAGCCAATATTATTATTATTATATATATGATGTCATTTGAACAAAATAATTCCCCTTGAACATATTCTAAAAGTAATTCGTGCCTGAAGCCAGCATGAAGCTCTTCACATAAAAGAGCTAAAGATATTTATGTACAATAGTTCAGTGGATGAGGAGGTGGATGAGGTCAACGCATAAGGCTCTCTTTGCTTGAGCGGAATTATATAAGGAATGCAGATCTGTAGCCCACCATGAGTCAAACGGGTAATTAGAGGTAGCTTGTGTGCGGTTTGAGAGTGTGAAAGAGAAAAAGGCTAAAAAAGAAGGCTTTTACAGAGGATCACTTGTAAAACCTTCTGCAGATCGACATTTTTAACTATCTAAATTTTAGCTCAGTTCGCTCCTTTAAGATAATCATTTAAACACGTGTTTTTGGTATAAGTATGATCATTTTCAGTGAAATTTAAAATGAATGCTAATTGCTTTCAGTAACTGATGTTAACCGATAATATTCTAAGAGGTCTAGTATTCAGAAGGCTGAGAGTTATATCCACAGCTCCTACATCCATGTTTTTTTCTAAGTATGTTGACATGACGATATTTGTAAGATGAGCAGCAAAATTTGAAGTTGTTTAAAGGAAGATCAAACTTCACTGTTATTGTCTATGTTTGCACTGTGCTGCTAGATGTAAATGTTTTTCATTTAGTTTCTCTGTGTTCTTCAATCAGGTCTTGCAGGTATCCAAACTGACCTGGACAAAAGAAAAGAAATATTTGGTCAAAACCTGATACCTCCAAAAAAGCCAAAAACTTTCTTACAACTGGTGTGGGAGGCCCTGCAAGATGTTACCCTCATCATCCTGGAAATTGCAGCCCTCATCTCCCTGGGCCTCTCATTCTACCACCCTCCTGGAGAGAGCGGCGGAGAGTGTAAGTGAAGCATAACCTGTGTCTTTGCATATGGTGAAATTTGATGTGTGTAGTTTGCCTTCTCTTTAGTCCGACACGGACACAAACACAAAATAAGATCTGTTATCATCACTTTTACATTGAACAAAAAAAAGGGTTATAATCATGTTGACCTGCTGAAATTCTAGAGGCACTCACAGAGACAATTACAGCCACACGTGTGCACAATTGCTTTTTAATTGGCAAGGCAGGTTACACTTTGTTTGTGGCCTGCCTAAAGAGGTCAAGTGCCTCGTCAAGGGAAGACCTAATTTTTGTATAAGCGTGCACATTATAACCTTGTTAAATGTGCGCAGGAGAGGTTCTGTGGAGGTTAATGAAGTGTAGAGTAGAGAAATAACCTTGAGCTTCTAGGGCCCATACATCAGCTCTGTGAGCCATGAAAGAGGAAATGAAGACAGAGATCATAAAGAGGTGCTGAGTCAGCAACATCAGTCATTTCTTCTAACATTATCACAGTAATGGAATTCATTTTCCCTGCTAAAAGGTCCAGTCATCATTTTAGGAGCAGTCTCATGAAGCTGAAAATACCAGAGGAAACAAGTCATTCACACTGTGTTTGCATTGTGTTTGAGATGATTATTTAAGTTTCAGTACATTTTTAGTTATTTTGTTCTGAACTTTAAGCGAGATCGGAGAGATACACATAACTGAATCAGTGACACTCCCTCAGTTACTGTATAATCACACTATACAAAATAAGCCAGTCCAATTTGATCCATATGTGAATTACATGAATACATAATAATGCCCCAATCTACAATCTATGGATAGCATAGTGGGTTAAAAATGGATATGAATATGTGTGTTGAATCTTCTTTTAAAAAGGGCAAAGTTATTTTTGATCTGAGGATGTTATGAGGAGATTTATGATGTTTATTATATTTATGTGACGCTTAAACAAATTGACTCATTTATGGTAGTAAAATTGACTTGACGCTTCACAAAGCCCAGAGCAACAACGGTTTGAGTCTATCTCAGCTGTTATTGGGTGAGAAATGACTGTACCCTGAACAAGTTGTCGCTCAAACTTAGGCCCATCAAATGAAACAAACAAACATGCATGCTCAGTTTCATTCCATCATTGGACAAACCCCAATTGAGTTTTGAGCAAGAATTATGTCCGATGATATTATTTTACAATTCCTCTTAGAACACAAAGTGTGTCGTTTCATATTATGATTGTTTCAAATGACCAGGTATCTAAATGTGATACAGATCACAGAATGTTAATACTATATAAGCTTACTAAGAATATCACTATGATTAATTCTCCCTCCAGAGAATTATAGTAACTCTTCTAATATATAAAATGTCAAATAAGTAGTTATAATCCTACAAACTAACATGTAGTATGAGGCAGAATTATAACGCCTCGAGCACACACCTTCCAGATTTGCACAAACCTCTTAGCTCTGCTTATTTATAAGAAGTTGAAAAAAAAGGTCCAGAAATAGCATCTGGTGGGATGATTTAGTTCTCATTTACATAAGATATAGCCTGACCCCAGCCGAATCAGTAGACTCATAATTATGTCAGTGTTAAACTCAGATCATTTACAAAAATATAAAATTGTGGAAAATACAAAAAAAAACACGGTTTGACATGGCAAAGTGCCTTTTGCTGCTGGAACATTTTGATTGATTTATTTACTATACAAGACAGCCAGTTTTAAAAGTGTACTATTAGTAACTAGGTTTTGTATTTGTGTGTTCAGATTTAGGGAACTTCTACAGAAACTTCAGTGTACATGCATGTTTTTGTTATTTATGTAGAAAAATTTGGCCACACTTTTATATAAGATAATGGTTTTTGATTACTTTAATGAATTTGTTTGCAGAAGACACTAAATATTCAAGATTTTGATGTTACACTCGAAAAACATTAGGTACACATTATTATTTTTTAATTATCTGTCACTTTATCACACTTTTATTTAGTTTATGTTTTTCACGAACATGATGAGTAAAATAGAAGGTAAAACAACTTAACTTCCAACTTAAGAATCAGGCTAACAGTACTATGAGCCATAAAATTCCTCACATAAATACTCTGATTCCTTTACTGACTCACACACATAGTCTGTGTAACTTTTTAACTGGATTACATTCCTTATTATCTCTTTTTTTGTTCATATTCTGTACAATATGGATTAGAGAATCAGAATCAGAATTAGGTTTATTGCCAAGTAGGTTTTCACATACAAGGAATTTGCTTTGGTGTTGGTGCCCAGCATTGCACCAAAACACAGAGGCAGCCATTTTCGGCGCCAAGCAAGTATATACTGTACAATTTAGTATGACATTTGTGATTACATTTTTAATGAAACACACAGTCTTGTTGTGTGGAGAAAAGGAAAGCACTCTTTTACATGTATATGCATTTACATGATGTTTGTTGCCCTGTTTTGCAGCGTGTGGTTCAGCTGCAGCCGGAGTGGAAGATGAGGGTGAGGCAGATGCTGGTTGGATTGAAGGGGCTGCCATCCTGTTGTCTGTGGTGTGTGTTGTCCTGGTGACAGCCTTCAATGACTGGTCGAAGGAAAAGCAGTTCCGTGGGCTCCAGAGCCGCATTGAGCAGGAGCAGAAATTCCAGGTGGTCCGTGGTAGTCAGGTCATTCAGCTGCCCGTGTCTGACATACTGGTGGGAGACATTGCACAGATCAAATACGGTGGGTGAAAGAAAAATGTCAAGATTAAATACATTTAAGAGCTCTCATTTTGTTGTCAAGGACCTTGAAATAAGGTCAAAATTTATTGAGACAATTTAATTGTGTTTTATTAATTTTGCATGGTCAGTGTTACTCCCTCACTGCCTGAAGTCTCTTGTCAGGCCTCTGTCTTCTGAAGGAAGTTATCTAAAGTATAAAAGTATATACATATTAATAAATAGTATCATCTGAAAATACTCATCAATTTCATCACGATTAAATGTTAATGTCTACTCTGAGTTTTCTTTGGGCAGCAAGTCTACTGTTTATGTTGTTTCAGGTGATCTGCTTCCTGCTGATGGAGTGTTGATCCAGGGCAATGATGTGAAGATTGATGAGTCATCACTTACTGGAGAGTCTGACCACGTCAAGAAGGCTGCAGACAAAGACCCCATGCTGCTGTCTGGTATGTTGTTCCTTGATGCTCTTTAGCGGCATGGCTAATAGATTGTGAAAGTGACGGGCATGTTTTTTATTTTAGAAAAAAGGGGCAATCATTGGAATCTGAGGCAAATTTTAAGTGGTAAAATGGGGCAAATTTGCCTCCTGAACAAAAACATCAAATTTAGCTGATTTGTTGCACCTACTTCTTTCAAGTAGTAATAATGAGGTAATTACAAATTCTTAATTTCTTATTGATAATAATGATGTCTGTTTTTATGTCCTCACCACGCTGAGGGTTGAATGTGTTATAAATTGGACTTCAGGTCAGAGTACTTTGCTTATTCTACTAAATCAAGTTGAATTAAATTCAGCCATGTCAGGGAGAAAATAAACATCAGCTAATTCCAATTCTAATAATGTGAATAGGAAACCCAAACCTACCAACAGCCAGGAAGATATCAATGTTTTTAAGATCTTTTGCTCCTCCATTTTGTTTGGACACAAGAAATGACTTGTGGGTTTCTGAGAAAAGAAGAAACAAAAAACAAAAATTGGGTTAATCTGATCTCAATGTTTTTTGTGGGTCATTAGCTGTGTGCTATTTAGCTGCCGAAAGTTAATTAGCCTTATATTCCCCCACACTGACTTAATCCTCCAAAGGTTAATCATTTTCCACATATCTGTATCACTTATAAATGGTGCAAGTGCACAGAGGTCAAGTTTAATCTACTGTTGGCACAGATCTGTAGAGTGACACATGTTTTCACTTCTTATCTGAAATAAAACATCTATCCGTTATCTGAATCACTTATTCCTTTTAGATTCGAGGGGGGTTGGGGTGAATGCCAGCTGTTATTTGGCGAGAAGCAGGGTACACCCCGGTCAGGTTGCCAGTACATCACAGGGCATCACAGAAACAAACAACCACACACTCTCACTCCTATGGTCAATTTCTGAATATGTGCATGCGTGCATGTGCTGTGCTCCAGCCAAACCACTTTAGCAGTCAGTCCTTACTGCTACGTTATCAGGATTGAAATGTAAAACACAGCAAACCTTTGAAAAAGTTAAAATAAAACATCATCATTTATATTTCATTTTGTTTTTTCTAATTGAAAGCACATATGAGATTTTTAACTTAATCTTAACTTTCAAATAGCCATTTTTAGTGATGAAGAAAATAACAGTGTAGTCATCAGATGCAGTCTCAGGAGGAAAATCATAGACCAATCAATGGAGTTCCAGCATCAGGGTTGGACAAGCTCTTCAGTTTTTCACTTAACTGCTACTGACTGAATTTAAAGGTTTTTCATCGGTTAGATGTGTGATCCATGTTAATAAAAGTGTTCAATTAGGAAACTGTTTGTAAAGTGTATCACACCACTACTCTTCCTTTAGGGACCCATGTGATGGAAGGCTCAGGGCGCATGGTGGTGACTGCTGTCGGTGTCAACTCTCAGACTGGAATCATCTTCACACTACTTGGGGCTGGTGTAGAAGAAGAGGAAAAGAAAGAGAAGAAAGGTAAGATGATTATATCCTCAAATTTCTCTGTCATTTCTGCAGTTTTTGTTTGTTTGCTTGTTTGTCAGTACTGCTGAACCACATACCCTTGGAAACAACTTTTGTCATTTCATTACATTATGTGCTAAAAGTATGTGCTATTACATTGTGTAATGTTTTAAGCTCTCCTGATTTTCAAGGAATTTCAAACAACTGTTTTTTAAGGTTCATGTCTATGAGCCTTTTGTAGGTAATTGTGTGGTACAGAACCTAAAATTAAAATTCTAAGTGTTTGGATACTGTATGAGATGATTGCTGGTGGTTCAGTTGTGAGCTGAAGTATCCAGGTTTTCTTTGGGTTGAGGTGCATCATTGTCCTTACTCTCTTATTGTTCCAAATTCGCTTTGAAGGAGGGGCAATGGAAGACGGACACCAGAACACAGGTAGAGTATCATCTTTCTCTGACCCTGGGAGTTGTCCTTGACCCTTTCGATTCCTAGGAAATCACTTTCATTAGTCCCCTATTTTCTCAAGCCAAGCACCCACGAAGCAGTTTAACCTTTAAAAAAGATGCATCATAATTGTCATGTAGCATCCCTCCAAATGTCCAGAGATAGATATATTTTACATTGCATACCTATCTGCCCTCTATAATCGGTGCTACTCTCTCAAAATTAACTCACATCTAACAAACCTGTTTCAGCAGGTTCTTACATCTATCTATCTGCTTTATTACACAACATCAGTATGAGAGCGAAAGCTTTTTCAGGTGTACAGTAAATCCATGACGAGTTCAGACCTAAAACACAGTTTCATCTAGTTGAATTAACATTTTTCTCATCAAATATAACATTAAAATTGGTCCTGTATCTCAGACCGAAGATTCCTCAGTAAATTTTATCTTAATATGTAAAACTTGTCAGAATATGTAACTTTTGACTTTGTCATCCCTGAAACTGGTGTGTGATCTGAATACTATTAGAAACCATATGCCATTGTGGTCATCAACTGTAATTTCTGTTGTTTCACAGTCGGTTTACAAGCATGGTATAGTGACACTAAATACTGAATAGTTACTGTTATTTTATGCTTCTGAGACAGTTTTAGGATCCTCTTCACCAAATTTTGGAATAATTACAGGTTTAAAAATATTTTTAATCAATCTACTCCAGGTTTTGCAAACAGTAATTAGTAATAAAATAGAAGTGTGTCAAAAATGTTACACCTTCCATTATCTAAACAATTACAATTCATTATCCTCTTCAGTTAACATGTAAGCACATTTGTATTTCCCTGGAAAATAATTTGATGCCTCTTATGTTTGTTTATTTTGCATAAGGGTTTTTTTGTTTTAGAATGCCCAGGCAACAAATAGAAATATGACTTTGCAATGCCAAAAGACATTACATGAATAACGTGGTTTGAATGACACACAGTCGGACAAAACTCACCTTAGTCTGAAGTTGTGATTCTGTCAACCAGGACAGGTCATACACGTACACACAAGATATTGAACGGGTGCGTAAAACTACCTGACACATGACTTATCTTGTTGGGTTTTTTCTTAATCAGAAAAAAGTAATCTGAATTCAGGAAAAAGATCGTCAGGAACACTGTTGTCAGGTTTAAAAAAATAAATAAAAAACTTCTCTCACACCTGACTGTGTGACTGACTGTTTTCCATAGTCCTGATGACTTCTTTCTTAGACCTGAATCCGTCCTAAAATGTACACCGTATTCGTGGCTTTTATCACTGTTGCAATTGTTTATCTACTAACATCCATCTGTACCTCTGACTTATTAAGAATTAAGAATCGCATAACGACAGTGATTGCATTTTTTAATTCATAGGTTTTAGTCCACCGTGATCATGCAGTGTACACATGCAGTATGCACAAAATGCTGAATCTCTTTTATGTGCTATAACCATGTTATTTCTGTTCACTGTCTTGTGTGTGCACGTGGTTTGGCGTGCTTGTTGGGGCGTGTGTGATTTTGTTTTCATTCATGTTTGACCCTCAATGTTACTGGCTAGATTGCTCCCATCCTCCTATCCACCCCATTGCAACTATAGCCACGGATGGGGCTGCAGGCATTAATGCCCCTGGCAGTGCCAGCCTAATTAATGGTAGGTTGACAACACGTCTGATCTCTGACCTCTCTCTGTTGTGACTTTTGACACTTCCTACCTTCTCCATTCTCCAACTCCCTTGGTGCACACCTTCTGCTTAGCTCTACCTTTAATTATTTTGAAACTTTTTGTTCCCATCCATGTCAGTGCATGCCTGTTTTCAGCTGTAAAAATTTGTGTTGTTTTTGTCTATGTTGTAATGCTTTTGTTATCAATGTCAGGAACTATCGTAAAAATGAATGTCACAACTTTAAGACTAAACAAATTGTCAGTTAAAAAGTACTAACCGTTTCACTCCAGCAGTTATGAATAAACTAATTAATTTTGATAATATAAATGTATGAAAAGATCAGACATTAGACGATGTGTGGTGGAAAAAATCAATATGTAGGGCGATCTCTTACTCATACAGCTGTCCTCTGTGATCACTTATTAAAATAATCTCTTTCTGTAACCCAGACCAAATGCAGTAGGACAAACATTTTACATTTTTAAAGGGATCTCTCTATAATGATATCAGTGAACTGGCTAATATGGAAGAGATAATAAAGTAATTTTTCCCTGTAAACTTTTTATTTAGAGCTTTAAGATTTCATTGTTTTTTTTCATACACCAATAGACAAAAGAGGAATCGGAACAAACACTAACTCAATTAATTCTGTTTAATTAATGTTTTATTTAATATTGAATAATTACATTAGTCTAGTCATACAATCTGACTTTAATAAAATATTTAATCATTACCTAGATTAAATAAAGAGGTTCTAGACTACCAGCAGTTTAACTGGAATTTTTTTAGTCAACTTCAGAAGTGTAATAAACTTACTGTCCCTTTACTTTTTTTTCAGTATTCCTCCAGCTGTTCTTATGTAACTCCATTATGTGGGAGGCTTTCCTTCAGGCATTCTTTCTCTCTGTGTATTTTTCACATCTCAAACCTGCTTCCTTCCGAGTGTGTGATCTTGCATGTGTTTCTTGAACTTTCCTCTTATGCATGCTATCTAATGTTTGTGTGTACTGTGTGTATTTTGTGGGGTACACTTCCTTATTGTTGCTGTTCAGTGTGATGGTCTCTCCACTTTTTGTCTCTTCCCACTTTCATATCCTGATAAGTGACTCATATTGTGAGCAATGTTTTGGAGTTAACTGCTGTTATTACATAGAAGATGTTAACAGAAAATGTGAAGCCTTCAGCTTTAAAAAGCATTTTATCTCAATCATGTACTGCGTATTTTAAAAAAAGAAAGAAAGAAAAGAAAAAAGTATAAAGATTTTTATTTCCTGATAATTAAGTAAATTAACATTTAGAAATTATTTTGAGTACGTCCAGTTAAATTCGCCTAAATCTTAACTAGATTAAAAAATATTTTTTGAGCTTTTTGTGAGTGGTTGTAGCTCCCTGTTACATGACATCACTTATGTATCATAAGCCTTTCTATGTGACTGTCACAAAGATGTTGTATTAAAAGTCATTTTCCTGTCTCCCTGTCTGTAATTTTTGGTTCTCACGTTTTGTGCTGTCTCTGTGGGGATGGTTTGTTGATTTGTCTGCCTTGGTTATCTTTGTTGTTATTGTCTTGTATGTCTTCATCATAGGTAAAATGCAAGATGGCAATATGGAGAGCAACCAGATTAAAGGTAACCAAACCATATGTTTCACTCTCTTCTCCTTTGACTTCTCTCTCCAACTTCCTTTGACCTACTTAAAAAAAAAGTATTTATTTGTTAGCCTTTTATGGTGTGTGGTACAAACTCTGAGTCTTCAGCAGGTGGAAAATATTATGTCACGGTGCTTCATTTACTTCAGTCCCCTTTTATACACTTTCTAAAAGGCCTGTATCAGAGGAGTTTAGAATTTTGTTTTAACCAGCTTTGACCTCATTCCAACGAGATGAAAACATTCTTCCTTTGCCTCTGACGTGTTTTCTATGGTCTGCTCTCTGGTTGTTCTTGTTCTGTTGTTTCCTCATCTTGTTCCACATTTTCAGAACAGCAACCTTTCCTTCCACCATTTTGAATTCACCTCACTAACCTTACAATTGCTGTTACTTGAAAAATACCCAATAACCATTCTTATGCTATATACTTTTTTACCCGTGCACATGTTTGATTTTTTTCTTCTGTCACAATGAAATATATTATAATTAAAAAAATCTGTAACATAGTTTTGGTATACAATGACTAAGTTTTTTTTTATTAGAAAATACTCAAACCTGGCTGCCATTTGTTCTTGAGGCTAAAGTTACTTTTTGGTCCTATCCATTGTGTGAGATAAGTATAGCATTTCTGTCCTGTTGGTATGTAGACAGGGCTGATTTGAATAAAATGATTGATTACTCTAGTCATACCTACATCAACTGCACTTCAAGTAGTAGTACTTAACAAGTACAAGTCTGTTTAATCTTAAAAAGTCAGCAGGAAATCTATCATTTCTTAAAACAGAGTGAAGTGCTGAAAAGCACTGTGTCCCCAAAGCAAAGGGTCAAAAGTGCAATTGAGGACTCCCAAAATCTCCTACAGGATATTTTTTAATTGGATTCAACAGATAAAAAAAACATGGTGTATTGCTGTTATTTAAAAAAAAGACATTCCAAGGAGCTAGAAGAAACACTATTCTACAGGGCATAAACCAATGTCCTGCATGTGTTTAAATATCAAATATAACTTATATGAAAAAACAAAAAACAAAAAAAGCAGCTGGATACAAATAAAGGAAAAAATATACATTCTGTCGTGGGGGTGCAAAACGGCAAATGTTCAACATAAAACAGTTTTTCATGATCATTAATCGCATGCCTTAATTCAACTAAGATGAACTATTTGGTTCATCTTGGTAATGGAGAAGCAGTGAATGTGTGTGATTTTGTGTGTCCCAGCATGTGAGTGTGGAAACACTGTGAATTTACTAAGGATTGGTTTTACAGAAGATATATTCACAGAAGGCCTTGTTTTTGCCAAACCATAAAACCCTGCATGCAGTTTAGAGCAGATTGAATATCAATTCCTCACTAAGTAGAGACAAAGTTAATACTGTGGGTAATGTAGATATGCACATAGTGTGTTTCAGTCAAGATTTTCTTTACCAGCCACAATTATATTGTCTGATTTAATTCCTTTGTGACAGCAATTTATGTATATCAGCTTATTCTCCAACGAGGTAATTTATTTCAGTAAAATGGATGATGACGTATTCATAAAATGACATAAAATTTGAATATTAAGTATTTGATATGAGCCATTATGCTGACAGTTCAATTATGACATTATTGTTGGTAATAAATGCTACTTTTAGATATCATATGAATCATATGAAATTGGTTGGTCTGTAGAGATATATATACAGCTTGAAAGATGAAAGTGAATATTGGATATTTAACATGATTTTTATATTGTGAATCTTTTGAACAATTGACATCTAGTCTGCAAAAACAGAACTAGAGGCATTTAGTGGAAAAATAATATTTTCTCTTGGTTTACTCTTCTTTTTTTTATTCATAATTGCTTCAGTTGAATTCCTTTCATTGTATTCCTCTATGTATTTTTCTTCTTTCCAAGTTTCTTTCCAAATATATTCATGTAACATACATTCAGCTTTCCTTTCAAGGATATGGTATGTTAATTATAAGGTTTCATTTAATTTTCTTTACCTTCGTTAACTGCTCATCATATTTCTAAACCTCATTGGGTTTTATTTTCTATTGTGGTTGTTTAAACCAAATTTTTCGTTAAAATCGAACACACTTGAGCAAGAATAACACCTGAGCATCCTTCTCCCTTCTCATTTCTCAGGTTTTTATCTCTATTATTAACGCTGGTACTTTCTTTTTTTGTGTGTCTTTTTTCTCCTTTTATGTTTATAGTCAAAAAGCAGGACGGAGCAGCTGCCATGGAAATGCAGCCTCTGAAGAGTGCTGAAGGTGGGGAAGCAGATGAGAAAGAGAGGAAGAAAGTGTCAGCTCCGAAGAAAGAGAAGTCTGTACTACAAGGGAAGCTGACCAAACTGGCTGTCCAAATTGGCAAAGCAGGTACAGCAAATTGCACACAGACACATCTGTCACTCAGTCCAGCAGAAAATCAACAACAACAAGGTACTGAACCATCATCCTGTCGATCATGGAAAATATGTTGTACTCAGAGGGTCTACTTTGTAGTTGCTTGAAGCAATCAAAGCAGTTTCCTAAAAGGTTAAAGTGTATGAAATATAAAACTGAGAAGAACCTCTTCTCTCTCATTTTCTGTTTTGATTAGTCCTTGAGGGACTTTATAAGTCACTGCAGTGACTTAGATTTTGTGATGGAAAGCATATACTGTCTCATTTTGCAATCAGTGTTTTTAATCAGCTGTTTCATGTGTTATTTGAATGAAGCAATGAATTCAATGGGTTGACTTTATGTGGAACATATTTTGTTAAAGACGTCACCCTGACAGTATCTCTCACATTGGTTTTCCTCTCAGCAGCAGAGTATTAGGATTAACATCAAGCAAACTGTCACTTGTAAGATTTGAAAACAGTCATTGCTTTTAGACTGTGCTGTTATATCAGAGTGTTGTCCTGAGTGATAGAATGGGGACGTGGTGTCAGAACACTGAAGAAGTGAAAAGCCATACAAGTGGCATTGTGGGATCATATGGCGCTCCTACATCATCATTAGACTCCATACACTTGACAACATGTGCGGTACTCGGTTTTATGGTCTGGTTGTCTTCTGAAGGCCATTTTTCTCCCAACATCAATACATATGAATGTTGCGATCTTTAAAAAAAAAAAAAAAAACAGCACATGAAAGCACACGAAATATCTAGAGTTTCCTATAGGAAAGATCACATTTTTCCACATCTTCAATATCGTGAAAACAATACTTTAATCAGCCACAAGTGTGTGTTTATCTCAGAACATTCCTTTCCTCAGCTGACAACCTCTGTACATTTTGTAGGTTTGCTCATGTCGGCCGTCACCGTCATCATCCTTGTCCTGTTCTTTGCCGTTGACAACTTTGTGATGAAGAAGCGCCCTTGGATGCCAGAATGTACTCCTATCTACATCCAGTACTTTGTCAAATTCTTCATCATTGGTGTAACTGTGTTGGTGGTGGCCGTGCCAGAGGGGTTGCCGCTGGCTGTCACCATCTCTTTGGCATACTCTGTTAAGGTAAGAATGAAGAAAAACACACACACTGCATGTGTTGCATCTTGGTTATGTGTCTGTATGTGAAGTGTTCATTGTATCTCAAAATGTTAAAATTGTGGGTATATTCGTGTGTACTTTCTGTAAAATTTTATGACTTGGTCCCAGAGATTTGATTTGTCTTTCATTGTGAGGACATTTTTGCAGTTTTTCAAGTTGAGTTTTTTATCATTGGAATTTAATGTTTACGTGTGCCGTGCAAAGACAGACATGTACAATGATTTATTATCTGTATTTAGGGATTATTTTAATATGCATTTCTATAATGATAATCACATGGGGAGTTAAGTCAGTGCAAACAGCTGTTAGAGGCATGCATTCATTTGGAGATGTCTTTTTGAAATGCACTCCCATTTCCGGCCAACAGAAAATGATGAAAGATAACAACCTTGTTCGTCATCTGGATGCATGTGAAACAATGGGCAATGCAACAGCCATCTGCTCTGACAAGACAGGCACACTAACCACCAACCGAATGACGGCTGTGCAGTGTTACATTGGAGATATGCACTACAAAGAAATTCCCGATCCTGGAGTACTTCCACCCAAAGCGCTGGAATTACTGGTCAATGCGATTTCTCTCAACAGCGCCTATACTACAAAGATACTGGTAAGCTACCTGTTATTGTTGTCCTTTGCCTTTTCTAACAATCTCTCTTAAATGTTTGCTCCATCAATATGTAAAGGTAATGTAACGTTAATCATTTTTATGATTCTTGACATGTAAAACATTAAAATTCTCTAAAGTTAAAAATAGAGAACTTCAGTTTCTCGGAATGGCTGTGTAGGTATCAGCTTACCCTGTGTCAGCTGTTAAACTGTATGATGACAGCATCCCAAAAACGGTGAGACAGGTCTGCAGTGCTTTCATTTTGGCAGAGCAGGCAGTCAGTGTCCTTGGCTGCTGCTTTAGATTCATCAGGCATTCACTCAACTTGTCACCTTGAGAACGGTTGTGTAATTTTTTCGTATCTGATATTCAGAGCGTAGCAGACTGTAATTGAATCCAATCTAAGTGCTGGATGGTTTCTTCTTTACAGTGAATGCAGTTGACAAAGAGTTCCTCAATGCCAATTAAACCTGTTTGCAAGGAGTAACAGATATATGGATATTCAGATTTATTTACAGTCCATTACAAGTTTTCATCACAGATTCAGAAACCTAACTGCATGCCTTGTTCAGGCTAATCGTCTGAAACTCGGTTTTTATAATAAAGAACTTACTTCCGCACAGGTTTAGATAGCAGATAATGCCAAGATCAGGATGTCTTCAGCCTGTTAGGACATGTCTGAGTAATCCTTTTCCTGGCATGGCTATGTGCACTCACTCACCTGTGGGCTCATACACAGAGACACACAAAAACAAGTTGTGTCTATGCGTGTGTGATCAACCTTGTTAACTCCCGTAGCGTCCATTCATTCATGGCAAATGCCTTTATTAGACTTGCACTAGGATGAGCTGAGCTGGGGGGACATCTGTGATCTAAGCATCCCACAGATATTTCTTCCTACCCCCCAAGGTAAAATGGTTGTTTTGGTGAAAATTGAGTGTTCGTCAGTGAATATCTGATAATTAAAGCCACAAAATGCAATCTGCACTACTTTCAGCTTGGGTTGGATTGAGTATATGGACAAAATAGACTCCTTGGTATTCACCTAATCCTTAATTGTGTGTTCAAGTCTTGAATTATAGAAAGTGCAGTACATTGGAATCTTAGTGTACAGTAGTTTAGAGATCACTTTTCCTTTTCAACAATGTATACCATGTACCTCAATCAAATTCCATCTGTATACAACATAATCCAACCTCTTCAGGTTTTATTTTCACATATCCAAGTAATGTTATTCCAGTGTACTCGAGTATTGTATCACAGTTCTATCTTTCTTTACCTTGACTATTGATGATTGTTTTTCAAAAACTGTTCAGATGGAATTTTGAGTGTTAGTCACGCAGAATCCAAAGAAGAATTTATGATATTACGTTGTCAAAATATTGTTTGCAGTGAGAATTGGTTTAAATGTTCAATTTTAGAAAAGTTTAATTTCCAAAAGATGTGAACTTAAAAGCTTTATATACAGAAAAAACTGAATTTTTCATGCTTGGGGATAAACTTACTCTCTTATAAAATGGATATGAACTTTTATGATTACCGAAAAGTCTGTTAAAACTGTCATTGCAGAAAAAGTGTTACTTTTCACATTTTCTTCATAAAGCAATATTTACACAAATGCACATCAGTTGCACAAACCAACTGTTCCAAGAATACCTTGAAAAAGATAATTTTGAATATTTGTTGTTAACATTTATTTCAGCTTGAAGTAATATTACTTTTCCATGAATTCAGATGTTAGAGGATATTCAGTCCATACCCGTTTCCCTCTTTTAGTCTCTGTGACTCCCTCAGCATCACTCCAACTCTGCAGTGTGCTAGCTGGTTTGTTCTTATACAAGAAGCCAATCGTATGAGGCGCCAGAGTGGTTAGGGAAGTCTTTGATGGTCACAGCACAAAAGCACAAAGGCAAAGAGGCTGACTTTGATACCCCTTTCAATCCCTCTAGTGCTCTCTAGCTAGATACTACGGCCAATGCTTTCTCTCTACCTTTGCTCTGGGCACATGTATACTACAGTAACAAGCAGAGAAGCTATATCCCCAAGGGATAGATTCACATAACTTCACAAAACAAAACTGTATAAGTATATTTGTATACTGTGCATGTATGAATATGCTATCATTTTTCGTGTATACATTACTAATACATTTCTGATTAGTATGTATAAACACATATATACTAGTGAGCACACGAGTAGAATCTTAACACAATACTCTGCATTGCAAGGCTCTTGCAGTCAAATTTTGTACAGCAGAAATTTTGAACTTCACAGTGACGTCAATCTTCTGACATCATTTAAAATGAGCACACCACATTCCCAGAGGCCCTAATATTCTCCAACGACTAAGATGTGCTTTCACTTTCTTATTTTTTCCATCTTCTTGGTCTTAGTATTTTAATTATTCATGTGTCATAATAAAACTGTAACACACTGGAGAGCTGAGATTAGATGCGAGTACAGGCACAGACACACACCCCTCATGCAAACATCTGTCATATCAGGCATTTTGACACCAGTGGAACTCAGACTACAGGTGTGTGTTCTCACAGCTCTGTTGTGTATACATAGCAAGGCTGTGCGACTATACTTAAACCTCAGATTCCTGTCGCTTCCACCACCTGCCCGGGTATATTTTTTCTTCTGGCCAGGATAGGGGAAAGCAGGAGCTCATGATGTGGTTCAAAGGAATGTTTTTGCAAAAGAGAATAACTAAATGTAATTAATCTTGCTTAATTACGGTAGTTAGTAATCTGAACATTTTTAAATCATAATTAAAATGGCTACCAATGCAGGTGGCAGGAAGATACCAGATCATGAGATGTCTTTAGTTTGAAGTATTTTTTAAATAATTGAGAACACATAAAAGACTCTTGTCCGGTCATATTTTAACCAACCCATTGACTTCTGGTTAATCTCCAGTCCCCCCGTGACCCCATTAGGGGAATAAGCAGTTACGAAAATGGATAGAATTTCTGTTTGTTGTATAAAAAAATGACAGATGAACAGTGATAAGATAACAACTGCGTTCAGCTTCTTATATGATTCGTTGCAAATTAAACTATTAAAAACTAGACTGTACAAAAGTTGTGTACCATGGGGTCTCTTTTATTAGATCTTGTTTAGACAAGATGCTTGGTTTAGATTGTAAGTTTATTGTTTTTCATGTTTTTTTTTCTTTTATAAGGATGCCTGAAGGTAAATTATTGCATATAAAATCTGAAATGTAAGATAAATAAAAAACGTTAGAAGTAACACAGGAAAAATACAGTTTTGTGACAAGTCTCATCATGATGGACTGGAAGACTGTATCACTGCCCATGCCTCCAAGGCTGAAGCCCAGTTGGCTGGTAAAATCATGTTTACCAGGAGAATGTCAGCTACTCCTTCGTGCAAACAGGGGACAAGAGGGGAAAAAAGGCAGGAGATCGAGCACTTTGCAAGAGACTGTGGAAATACATAATGAGCAAGACAAAATTCAACCTAACCCAGAATGAGGAGAGGAATCCTAGATGAAAAAGAAAAAAACAGATAAATATGAACCGATGGCATGTAGGGAAGTGAAAGCTTGTGTTGGAGTATGAAGAGAAAAAGAAAGAAGAAGAAATGGGGAAATGTGAGAAGATGGAGAAGGAACAGGGGGGGATGGATTAGGGAGAGCCCCAGGTGCAATAGGAAGTAAAGTTGCCAGCTATCCCTTTGGCATATGTCCTTGCCTGCAGGAACACCCAAGGACCAGGGAGAGGGCAGCTGGTCGTAAGCCACATCCAGACCAGAACGTGCCAGCAGTAGCTTAGTCGTGCCAACTTTGGGCATTCCAAGCCAGTAACTGCCCCTGTGTGCAGAAACCCATGTAAAGTTAAACCTCTGCAGAATCTCTTAAAAGAAATGGCAGCAGTGGTTAGATGGGACCCCTATTATTCCTTTTTTATTCACTGCCATTTCTCCTGCCGTAATATTTCAGCAGCTGTCAGACACTGTAAACCTCTGTGGAATAATTTCATTGTAGCTGAAGTTGTGCATCTTGCTCAGGTGAGTTTTAGATGGCTGTCGTTAGATCAATGAACATTATACACCTCACTGTAATTTGTTTCCATTCTGTCTGCAGTCCTTTCAGCACACAGCTTTTACCATTAATTTTGTTAGCTGCTAAAGAAACTGTTACAGTGAATTCAAATATAGTAATTACTTTTTACCTCAAGCGTTTTTTTCTGTTCTCCTCCGTACAAGATATTTATCTACAAGGCACCCAATATTGTCGTTTTTGGGGTTTAACTTGTCCTTTGTTGTCTCAGTGACTTATGTTGGCCTCTGGCTGAGAGCCCAACACCACCAGACAACACAGACGAGGCCATTTGTTCCATCCTGTCATTACCCAATGACTGGCTGTATCTTCCTGATGTAATCATTGGTCATTAGCAAAATGCATCAATTCTGTTATTTGCCACAAACTTATTCTCTACTTTGTGTCTGAGACACACACATCTGGACAATAACCAGATATATCCAGTTACCAGGTGAGGATGGAGCAGAACTCTGGCTTGGTAATCATATTTTAAATGCTTTTCTCGCTGTACTTTCTGGATCTCAAGGGAATTCAGGCTGAGTTGATAGTAATCCACATTCCCCATCCAAGTCAATGTGTTTTATTACATTATGCTGTCAGTGCAAATATTGAAAACAAAAACATTTTGTCAATTAGGAATGCAAACAAATTAGATTTACAGTTATTTGAATAACTGTACTCATTGACACAAAAGCATTCTTAACTTCTTGTTGCAGATGCCTAAAGAAATATATAGTGAAATAAACTAAAATACAAAATGTCAAAATCCCAAGCAATTCTTTACCTCGGATATCAATGGGAGGCTTGTTTAGATGCAAAGCAGTTAACCTGCATGCAATCAATTTTGGTGCAAATAGCACTGGTAAAGGTTTTAGCAGCAAGGTAGAAGGACTTGCTAAATGTTTTTTGTGTGTGTGTGTACTGAAAGTGCACGTGCCAATACCCTTGGGAGGATCTGTCAACACAGTACCAGCTAATACGAATATAAATTAAGCAAATGTGACATAAATCAATCAAACAGGATCTATATTCCATATTAGTTATTAGCAAGCCTTAGTAGCATGTTGAAGCAATTTTACTTTATTATAGAACCAGTTTGACTGCTATTACCCAGATTGAGTGTGAAGTGGGCGTTTTTGTGGAAAACTGTTTTTGCATTTGAGAAGTGAAACTGACCATCCCTTTCATCCCCATGATGTCTTCACACTATAATTCAAATCAGCCTGAGAAGGTGTGAATTTGTGAAGAGAAATGTTATGACTAATGGCAGTAAGGACTACATTCTTGTCAGTGTGTCGAGAAATATGACCACCGATGTCACTGTAATGCTAGTAAATCAGACTGACCTCCACAATTGTTAGAAATTTCTGTCACGACAGCAGATAAAACATTACGTTTTATAATTTGTTCCTCTGTGAGTTATTTGGGTAAACAGAGTTTCTAAATGGCATGTGGCTTGGAAATACTGACAAAGAAGCCTTTGGAAAAAAGAACTTTGAAACAAACAAACAGTAAAATGGATTTGAGGACACGTGTGAAGTGAGATGAGTGTGAAACTTGCAAGAGAATCATAGCCAGCGAGTAAGAATCCCCAAGTGGTAGAGAGAGCACCCTCTCGTTTCCCTGGTCTCATCTTCCAAGTGTGCTTTGCCCAGTGTTACCATGGCAACACTTAGACTACCATAAGCAGACCACACTCTCACACACTGTCACGAACGGTAAGCACACAATTGAGCATGTGTATAGTGGCCGCATGCAGACATTCAAACAGATACCAGATCACACCCGAAAATCTAGACAGAATAATTTCACAACTTTTAAACACAGAAAACTCCACATTTGACACTGTGCACACCATATTATACTGCTGTATGTTTGATGGGATGTTATCATTTCCTTGATTGAGATTCAATTGAAAATTGAACAGCCTCTGATTCAAACTTTTCAAAATCAGAATTCATTTTGACTGCATGCCTACACACACAGTGATAAACCTGGAACATCTACTCTGTTGTGTAAATAGGTGTATACCAGTTTGCCTTCTGTAGTTTATAATAAACTGATGTGTTGGTGAGGTAATTGTATAGTTCTTAACTAACAATTAGATATTATAAAAGCCTGAGCTCCTTGTCTGAAATAAGAACATTCAAATTTGATTCCATCCGTCTCATATCCTGCCCACCCACACAAAAAAACCCTGTAACCTGCGTGCTGGTTAATTATCGCTAGAACCAATTTCAAGTGTTATTTTGGGTGCTTTGTAATGAATGAAAAAAGAATATCTTTCAATGAATAGCACAGATTACAGAGGAGACTAGACATATGAGTTCAGAAACTACTTCAACTGAAGTATAGATAGATAGATAGATAGATAGATAGATAGATAGATAGATAGATAGATAGATAGATAGATAGATAGATAGATAGAT